AAAAGTCTGGAAGAAACACTGGTCAAATGAATGTCCAATTTGAAGTCAAATGTCCAGCTGGTCCCATGTCCAACAGAATCTATAATCCCACCAGTTTTAAAAAACTAGCTTTTTGACAAAATACGTTTTGATCGAGACTCACTAGACGGGTGTCCAGAATTAAGCACACGCCAACTCTAAACAACCATTGCCCAAATCTGACTCACTGGCATTATGAATCAGAGACTGAATATTAAAAAAAAAATAAACACATAGGTCATTAAGCAAACTTTAATTTCACATTGACAAATTAAATACAAAACATGAATAATACTGATATCATTAATACATTTAACTAATAATATAGTTCGGCTACAATGTGAAATTTTACACCCATACGACATTGCGTAAACAGGAACTGATATGACGTGTGAATATGGCGTCAGTTAAAACAATATTAAAAACTCAAGTCCTCACAGTGTGCTGAAACAAATAAGCTAGTGGTCCCTAGGATCAGACGGTATGAGAGGCCTCTAGTTTACACAAGGCGATTGGAGCGAGTTGGTTTAGTTTTTTTTAACTTGCACCGGGTACCAAGACTCAAGAGCATTTATTTATAGAACAAAAGTCATGTGATCTAGATCTAGACGTCACAGGTTTTTGATTTCCTTTCTGGGGTTGTCTCCTTTCTAGACAGGGAAGTAACACTTCATGGGAGTGGCCTTGCCCCTTCATGACGACCTCACCCCTGTAATCGAATTGGAACCCGGGGTCAAAGTTCATGGGTTCTTGAAGAAACCTATGGAGAGAATTTTTAAAAATATGACATATATTAGTATATATTTATGTGTATATTCTCTCTCTCTCTCTCTCTCTCTCTCTCTATATATATATATATATATATATATATATATATATATATATATATTATATATTATATATATATATATATATATATATATATATATATATTTCTTTAGGTTTTGTGTATTGGTACCTGCTAATGCCTGAAAAGCCATAAAACGTTAATTTGAATAAATTATGCTAATGATATGTAACGTCATAAAAATGAACAACTTATGTGTCTCAGTTGTGTACTGTGGGTTTATGTTGCAAGAATTAGTGATAATCAACAATACGGCCAGAGTTTCTTCCAGGCATCTCTTCGGGGGGGGGGGGGGGGGGCTCGGGGGGAGCCCCCCCCCCCCCCGAACGAAATGAAATTTATATAATTTTATATAGAAAATATATACTTTTGACAGTGTCCGCCCCCCCCCCCCCGAAGAAAGTTTACCGCTCCCCCCCCACCCCCCCCCCGAAAATTTCAAGTGCCCCCCCCCCCCCGGAGAAAAAAGTCTGGAAGAAACACTGATACCGGCATACCCATTTGTCTCAACTATAGATAGAGCTATGGTGGCGACAATACTTCAGACGATGTATATGTGTGGGGGACCAAGTATAAACAAACACCAATTAAAAAACTATCTTGACACGTCTAAAATCAACAGTAATTAATTATCTTGATGCTAATGTTGTAATTAATCACAAATCAGTTAAATAAACAACTAATCAAATAAAGACATTTTAAAAAATTCTTTTGATTATATCTCACTTTAAAAATCTAGCTCTAGTTTTTAAATCGTTCAGCTATTACTTAAAGTACAGCTAGTAAAATAAAAATCAGCCTTTGAATGAAACTCGTTGAACTAACACTCGAGTACAACTGCGGGTATTTAGTATTACCATACCCACATCCCACACAAGTATTACCATACCCACATCCCACACACCGCCAACAAACATGCCCGGGCATTAAAAACTTTGCCAGCAGACGACCGGATCAATTTCTCTAATAGACCAGGACCAAAACAGATTTCACTGGGTCACGTGCTATGCATAATCCCGCCTGCACGGCGCGTGCGGTACAATTTTTTTCTGTACCACATCCGGTCGCCATCTTGGAGGTTTTATAAAAGTACGCTTCAGTTTTTGAAAACGAAAAAAAAATATTTTAAATTGTGTATATAAGCTCCAAGCTCCTCAATTGTAAGCTCACGATTTATAAATAGTGTATGTAAGCTCCAAGCTCCTCAATTGTAAGCTCACGATTTATAAACAGTTGAAGACACTACCAGAAACGGGATGAATAGATTCAAAGCTACGATAAAAGTTAATAAACTGCATTCGATTTAACTATTTTAATGGTAGGGGGGACAGAGTTATTTAATAAACGGTAATTGGCAGTAATCCTTCGTTCTAACAACCTAATTAGAGATAATGAATACTACACAATAGAATGCATCTCTGCGATTACTTTAAAAAAAAAACTAAATTACATTGCTACGTCGATGTGTCCTAATTAATTGACAGGGACGAAATTTTAAACTGATTAGCTTTATTTATTACCTTCGATTGAGATTTTCAAACTGCCACTTTAATTGTAAAACGTGTTCTTGTTAACTTTTTTGGAGAATTTATTTTTATATCGTTACTTGAAGGAGTTTCGCGTGAGAGGCTCTTAACTGTTTGCTTTATTATAAAATCCTTAATTATTTCCGCACCGAGGTTTGCTTTTCACCGATGTGAATAAGCGAAGTGGGGGAATTTTTAAACTGTTACAATAGTCATACAATCCTGACTCCTTCTTAAACTTAGCCAAGATTTCCTGTATTTATTTTTGTACCGTGTAAATTAGCTATGCTAGCTTTGTTAGAAATATCTTTTTTTTTAAATTGCAGAATATATCTATTTTTTCTTTTATGAAACCAGTGTAAAAAAAAACGACTATAAAAGTTGGCTATACTAAATAAAATGAATTTTAAAAAATAGAATTTTAAACACAGTAAATTGTAGAATCGCGAATGATAAGCCATATTATTCGCTAATGAAGAACAATTATCAAATGTCCACAATTTTAAGATGAAAATTCTAGCTGTAATGAACGATAAAAATAATTGCGGGTTATTTAATGAACTTGTATTTGTATTATAATAGCCCTACTAGCCTACTTTAACAAATAAAAAAATTCGTCAATTCTAACAGTTTTTTCTTATAATTTAATGATTTCGTTGATATGAAAAATTAACCATTCGTTTAATAAATACATTTTTATTAACTTCGGGAAAAAAATTAAATGTTGGATGTTTTATGTTGATATAAATGATGACAAAACTGCTTTTTTTAAAACTTAAAAATGCTAATTTAACAATACAACAATTAAGAAGTAAAAAAACAAAACGGGTGGGGGTAAACAGATATTCGTAAACTCTCTATAAAGAAGTTTTAATTTTAGTAAAAAAAAACGCAAGTTTATCCCCCCTATTGTAGACTAAGAGATGTCCGTACAACATAAGCATTTACTTTTGTGCGTAATTAATCTCATTCAGCTACTTTAGAAGCTATTTCTAAATACTCCTGCAACTCTTCATTCGTTACATAAAATATCACTCAAGTTTCAACACTAATGTCTTCCACAAAACACATGCGTGGATTTATATTCAAAAAATGTCTACAGAATAATGGCAATAGTCAAAAGCAGGCGTCTAAAAAAAAAACATGATGACACATTTTTTCCAAAAATCAACAAGATGACACATTTTTCAAAAAAAAAAAAAAAAAAAAAAACAAGATGACACATTTTTCAAAAAAAAAAAAACAAAACAAAAAAAACAAGATGACACATTTTTCCAAAAGAGACATCGGCCTTGACCTTGCCCATGATGGGGGTGTCATCAGCCTGTCAGATCGTGTCAAAAATAACCACGGCGCAGACGAGATCTCGGCGTCTCTGACGAGATCTCGACGTCATTTCATTCTGCGTGATGCGTGCGCTGACCTAAATAGTTGCCACTTTTTCCCCCTCTCCTTCAGATCTGAACGGCGATTGGTTGGCGTGTTGTTCGTTCTGTCCAATGAGGTTCGCCGTATTATTTAATATTCCGTTCATTTTATTTTCTGTCTATTTGTGTCCGCTCCACCGATCACTATCTCATGAGGCCCAATCTCCATTTGTGTCCATACTTATGACGAATAAAATGTACCATAAACCAAATCTAAATGTTGATTGAGCATTACGTATGCTGCTCTGGTCGAGGTATTAATGTCCAAAATCTGGCCGGACAGGTCAAGTATAAATGGTGGGTGTAGCATAAAGATAATATAAAGGTCAAATACTCGCCCGAAAGCCGTTTGCCTGAAGGCCGTTTTTCCGAATGGACATTTGTCCGAATGGACTTTTGCCGATGGGCCAATTGCTCGAACTGACATTTTCCCGATTGGGACAAATAACCGAATTGAGACTTGGCCGAATGGGACTAATGCCTGAAAGCCATTTGCCCGAAGGCCGTTTGCCCGAAAAAGGCTTAAATTGTATATATTCACACCAAGCACCATGTGTTATGCTTCATCCACTATCACACCCCAACCCCTCATCATCCCCGACCTCTTAACTTTTCTGAAAGTTTTTAAGAAAGGGGTCAGTAGTCAAACCCCGGACGATATTGTCGAGACGCCGAGGTCAGAATTCATCAGATTCGGGACTCAACAATCAAATAACTCGCACGTGCAAGCCGATTGCTCTGCTCCAATAGATGCACGCGCCACGTTCACGTGACTTGTTTTTAACCTCGTTTTGCGTCATCACCGGAAATGAAATATTGTAGGATGTCTGATTGCGCATGCCGGGGTTTATGAGATACATTTGGGGGTGGATCTGGGAAGGGTTCTCAAACTGGTGTCCTTACAACGAGAACCATCGGACAGTACACGGCTGGGTAGTTTGAAGCATGCCATACTATTAGAACAGTAAAACTAATCACAAATACTCATCAGTTTGTGAAATGATTGCACAAAATTGAGAGAAGATGTGTCTGGCCCTTCGGCATATTTCTATATTAATAGGTAAAGTGTTTATCGTTAAACAGCTATATTCTCAAAACTTGATTTTCTCGTAGAATTTACGTTCGTTTAGTTTAGAGTTGCTGGCCTTTAACCCAGATTTCTATGAAGAACGGCTGAGGGATTACATGGACTCAACATAAGAGAGCTGCCCAAAACAGAGTCTGAGATGTGCAGCTGTATTTCTTGCTTCCCAGGGGCTGGAAATGATTAGGTCAAGTCCTATTGCATAAAACAGGGTCACTCACTCGCAAACACTGAGCGCAAAGTTACAATATTCTCCATTTTGACCCGTTTAATTTAGCTAACATACAAATGAAATATAACGTGCAAACGCCAAACGTTTTCAAGTTAGAAAAATTAGTTTTGATATAATTAACAAAACAAGCACAAATCTCATCAAGTTATGGTATTTGTTTCAAAATGAAACATTTGTCACGCATACTATTTATCTTAGAATCGAATTACAGAAAAGGATAGAATCGACCCTAGAGGGTAGAGTAAAAAGGGTAGTAAGTTAGGATCGAATTTATTTGTTTGGGTAGGATGGAATCTTATGGTAGGATGCAATCCAATCAGTAGAATAGATATGTTAGAATAGAATCTAAAGGGTAGGGTATAATCGTATACATGTTTGTCGCTTAGTATTCTACATACTTCTTTACGAAAATGCAGTGAATGATAATACTTTTAGACATTTGTTCAAGGAAAATCTTAGAATCCCTTGTGTACTCTAAGACTTACCTGTAGGCATACTCTAAGACTTACCTGTAGGCATACTCTAAGACTTACCTGTAGGCATACTCTAAGACTTACCTGTAGGCATACTCTAAGACTTACCTGTAGACATACTCTAAGACTTACCTGTAGACATACTCTAAGACTTACCTGTATACATACTCTAAGACTTACCTGTAGACATACTCTAAGACTTACCTGTAGACATACTCTAAGACTTACCTGTAGACATACTCTAAGACGTACATGTAGACATACTCCAAGACTTATCTTTAGACATACTCTAAGACTTACCTGTAGGCATACTCTAAGACTTACCTGTAGACATACTCTAAGACTTACCTGTAGACATACTCTAAGACTTACCTGTAGACATATTCTAAGACTTACCTGTAGACATACTCTAAGACTTACCTGTAGACATACTCCAAGACTTACCTGTAGACATACTCTAAGAATTACCTGTAGGCATACTCTAAGACTTACCTGTAGACATACTCTAAGACTTACCTGTAGGCATACTCTGAGACGTTGATCCTCCCCTTGACACCTGTGGTCTCCGTGCGACTGGTCAAGTTGACCGTGTTGCCGAACAGGCAGTACCTGGGCATCTTCTTACCTATCACACCTGTCACCACCTCACCTGAGTGGATGCCGATGGTGATCTGGAAGTAGAAGAACATGCATGTAATGGCGGGGGGGGGGGTCTAAATGGTGTGACTCGTGGAGGGGGGATGTCTGGCTTTTGTGACTGTGTATTTTGTGTGAGTGAAGGGGGAGGGTTAAGACTGTAGAATGTGACGTAATGTGATGTGTGGGGGTATAGTTGTGTGTGACATTGTGTGACGGTATGAGTTGGGTGCTAAAATTGTGCTGCTAAACCAAGTAATTATTATTGTTAGATTTTAATAAATTAGCACAAGAGTGCGATGAATTAACTGCGGTGAATTTATATACTGTACAAGGAAAACTCGCAGTGTGATTCTGTCTAAAACAGGGATTTGTAGTACAAACTTACCATGATGGGTTCACCATTGGGATCTTTCAGCTCCTTCGATATATCCATCAGATCAAGTGCCAATCTGGCAATAGAGCGGGCATGGTCGTCACATTTTTCTGGCAGACCGCTGACGGCCATGTACTTGTCTCCCACAGTCTCGACCTAAATAACAGACTTCTATTTTTAGAACCTCGACCTAAATAACAGACTTCTATTTTTAGAACCTCGACCTAAATAGCAGACTTCTATTTTTAGAACGTAACTGTTAAATCTCTTCTCAGCATCCATTTCAATAACAGTGGCTAAATTTCAGGGCCGGTGTGGTCTAGCGGTATAGAGCTAGGCTTCTAAACCGAAAGTCTCGAGTTCGAGACCAGCCTTAATGGTTACATCTGGGCAAAATGCTTCATCATATCTTCATTCATCTGCCCAACGTCCCCTTGACAAAACGGGACAAGATGAAGATGAACAAACGTGTAAGATTTCAAATTCCAATCAACACATGTACGCAAGTTAGAACTATCAGTTTGTTTTTAAAGTGTCGAAAATTCTAATCAATAACTATCAATTCGTTACAAGTTTTTACTTTGATACAATGATAGTCAACTTAAGTTTCGAAACACTTAGTGTACTCTTCACAATCTGTGGTAGAACATTTCTAATTTTATATACTCTATTTCTTCAGACATTTTTACATTTTTTCTAAGCTACGCAATAAGATGAACTAAACACCATCAGTGGGACCTACCTTGAAAATGTTTGGGTTTTTTCCAGGGTCCAACATTTTATCGAACCGTGTGTACACAATGTTGAGCAGTTCCACAATTTTCATGGCACCCTCGGCATCGGAATGTTTGGCTGAGTACTCAGTGAACCCGACTATACCGCTGGAAATAATTGCACGAGCGATTCATCTCAAAGCTCAACAACATTTGTAATACATAACTAATTTTAGTTGCAAAGTAAAACATTATTGAATTTGTATAGTATAACTATTCTTCTTCGTTCTTAATTTTAGTTTAGGAAGGGATTCCCTCCAACACAGTTAAGTATACGTGTCAACCGGTTATGCGCCATTGAGGCCATTGACTACGATATCAGCCTGCTTTTCTTTTTGGATTTGCTTCCATAGTCTTTGTCCAACCAAGAACAAACTACAAGGCAGCAGTTGTTTGATTTTGGAGTTGTCTCTCCTAGAAGAGTGGCTGTCCCCCGCTAACAAGTCTCATCTGCCTGAGGTATGTATTCAATAAATATTAAAGAGAGATGCAATATCTAGAGCTTGTCCCTTGTAATTACATACGAGAGGGGAAAATAATGAATCGATTGTGGAAGCGTAATAGGTATCGTATTTTTGGCGTTAAAGATTACTGGGGAGTACAAGAAACCCACAGGTTTTCAGACAAAATTTAGTGTTTCGAATATAATTGTCCGGCAAATACTACCGACACCCAGCGTGTGAGTAGACCCTTGACTTTTGAAACGAGATTGTCCTCATGTACATCGTACAAGTGGGACGGTGTGACCTAGCGGTAGAGCGCTAGACTGCTAACCCGAAAGTCACAAGTTCAAATCAGTTGAACGTCCTAGAGTCAACACACCTCTGATTGGTATTCTCAATTGAATATTGACATTAGGACATTCTCACCTGAACAGTGACATGATGACATTCTCACCTTAACAGAAGGGTGGCATTATGACATTCTCACCTGAACAGAAGGGTGACATTATGACATTCTCACCTGATAAGTGACATTATGACATTCTCACCTGAACAGAAGGGTGACATTATGACATTCTCACCTGAACAGAAGGGTGACATTATGACATTCTCACCTGAACAGAAGGGTGACATTATGACATTCTCACCTGAACAGAAGGGTGACATTAGGATACTTCATGGCATTAACTGGTCTCCTGTGGCGTAGTTCATTGGCCACTGATGGTGGAAGTATCGAGTACATTAATCTGAAAGTATCAATACATTACCAGCAAAACGTCATCAATCATCATTAACCGAAATGTCTCTTGCCAAATTAATATTCATCACATTATCAGTTAACAAAAAAGGTTTAAGAAATTAGTCATTCTAAATATCAAGATATTTTTCAGACCATTTACTGAAAAAAAACTAAATCATTTCTCTTTGGTTGCTTCATATAATAAACCATAAGCTTATTTTGGTGGACAACATGTAAACTAAAACACGCACCAATCTATGACTAACCCTTTGACCTGATAGATCCGCCCATTTCTATACCTATCTATTTGCACTTCTCCTTCCTTCAACCTTGGGTCCGTCCATGTCTAAGTACCCGTTTTTACCCCCTCCCCCCTATACCCCACCTCTCTTGATCCGCCTCATCTGTCTTGACATACACCATCCACTCATAAACCCGTCAAATCTTTACACCCTTAGACCCGCCCCACCTGTCTACCCCACCACCCCTAGACCCATCGATCTGTCTGAAAACCCCTAGAACCTCCCTCACCTCTCTCACACAGCCATAGACCCACCCCACTACTCTACCCCCTCCACCCCTACACAAACCCCACCTTACACTCCTAGACCCAGCCCACCTGTCTACCCCCGCCATCCCTAGACCCGCCCTCGCCTGTCTACCCTCACCTGTCTGACATTCCTAGACCCACCCCACCGGTCTCAAACACCCTTAGACCCACCCCACCTGTCTGAAACACCCTTAGACCCACCCCACCTGTCTGAAACACCCTTAGACCCACCCCACCTGTCTGAAACACCCTTAGACCCACCCCACCTGTCTGAAACACCCTTAGACCAACCGCACCTGACTGACACAGACCCTCCCTCACCTGTCAGCCACACCCCCCAGACCCACCTCACCTGTCTGATACCCCTTATACCCACCCCACCTGTCTATCCCCACCCGTCTGACACCCCCACAGACCCTCCCTCACCTGTGTACCCCCACCACCCCCAGACCCACCTCACCTGTCTGTCTTCTTCTTCTCATCTTCCAGCTCCCTGTACGTCTGCTGCAGCTGGTCCGTGAGTACCTCGAGGTTCTGTGCCAGCTTGTACTCGGCCTCCCAGTGCTCAGACAGCAGCACCAGCTCCCTGGTGGCGTCGTGCAGGGGGATGTCGCTCAGGTACAGCCCCTGGCGGCTGATGTCGTCCAGGTTCATCACGCTGGGGGAACACAGGAACAAGATGGAGTCGCACTCGGGAACGTAGATCATTTGGCCTGGGGACAGCAAGAAATGTTGGTTAAAGGGAACACAGGAACAAGATGGAGTCGCACTCGGGAACGTAGATCATTTGGCCTGGGGACAGCAAGAAATGTTAGTTAAAGGGAACACAGGAACAAGATGGAGTCGCACTCGGGAACGTAGATCATTTGGCCTGGGAACAGCAAGAAATGTTGGTTAAAGGGAACACAGGAACAAGATGGAGTCGCACTCGGGAACGTAGATCATTTGGCCTGGGAACAGCAAGAAATGTTGGTTAAAGGGAACACAGGAACAAGATGGAGTCACACTCGGGAACGTAGATCATTTGGCCTGGGGTTGGGGGGGGGGGGAGTGAGCAATAAGAAATTATTGATTAAATCTTAAATCTGGTATGACCATAAGAAAATATTGGACGAATCTGAATATAAAAAAATATTTGTTTTATCTAAACCTACAGAAACTGTCGGTAAATCTGTGAAAAATAAGAAAAGAATGGCTAAATTTAAAAAAAAAAAAAAATTAAAAGCTAAAACTGAAAATAAAATTACATTCGCATTCATAATTGGGATTATCCGAAGGACGGGAGAGGGGTAAATATTAATGTTCACGCATGTAAAGTATCTTTAATTAATAAAATATTGTGTACAGCGAGAGAAAAGTTTCAAATAGTTTTTAGCGCAATTTCCATACGGACAATTGCGATTATTAACTCGTCATTTCTGGATGGATGTGTGTCCGCAGCTTTAAGTTGATCTCCTCCTCAACGAAGCAATATCGAGGACTAGTTCCAAAAGCAAATATGTTAAGCAAGTTCCGAGGATGATTGTGGGCCAAAAACATTCCCGGAATTCCTTCCTAGATTTCCAGGAAAAGCCAAAAAACCTCGAAAAAATGCAGTTTTTGGATGGATGTGTGTCCCCATCTTTAAGTCGTATCTCCTCCTCAACGAAGCAATATCGAGGACTAGTTCCAAAAGCAAATATGTTAAGCAAGTTCCGAGGATGATTGTGGGTCAAAAAAATTCCCGGAATTCTTTCCTTGATTTCCCGGAAAAGCCAAAAAACCTCGAACAAATGCTGTTTTTGCTCCATATCTCGGCAACCAGACCACTTAGCGACTTGAAACATTTACCAATCGATTCCTGCCATAATTTAGAACAATATTGCCGAAGAAAGTTTTCAAAAATATCATTTCGTTCGGTCACAAAAAATTAATTAAGGAAATTGCGCTTAAATTGTCACTAGACTTTTTATTAACTTGTTTTACTTATTCTTAAAATTTTAAAAATGTATTAAATAATTAATTTAAAAATTTGTATTTATTATACAAATTATAAAATACTCATATGATTTATATGTTAGTACTGTCGTCTTAATTAATATTAAGCAATAGTTTAACATTATTTATGTACATGACTGTGTATATAATTTAAAATCAAATAATAAAATTCTACTAACATTTTCAGACATAAGACAATAAATAAAAGTGAAAACATTTTTAAAATGCTTCTCTAACCGTCTTCGAAGTAGTGCTTCTATCTAACATACTATTCACGTTAAAAAAAACCCGAAGCTAATAAAATCACTAATTACCTTTGAGCCTCATTTGCTGCTGCTCTGCATTAACTGCGGACTGTGCGTCGTTGACGTCATCACGTGTGAGCACGCCCTGTTTGGTGATGAGCACGAAGACCGTGTTGATGTGGGACAGGATGTTGTCGAAACCAAACTCCATGTGGGGGCGTATCATGTCGAACAGCTCCGTGATCTGGCAGGAGTTGTTCACCTTGGGAGAGAGGAGGGGGGGGGGGGGGAGTTACTTGACTTGTGTGTGGTGGGGGGAGGGGGTCGTCATCTGGTACGAGTTGTTCACCTTGGGAGAGACAGTGGAAGTTACTTGTGTGTGTGACGGGGGGGGGGCATTGTTCACTTTGACAGGGGGAGTAACTTGGTGGGGGGGGGGGGGGGTCGTTAATAAATTAAGTCACGCTATAAGGTGGGCTGAGGTGAGAAAATGGACTTTACTGATTACGTGTGGCTAGGAGTGGGGGGGGGGGGGCGGTGATAATGTGAGACGTCACATTATTCCATTTTGATAGTAATATTTTTAAATGGAGCTGACCTTAGGCAGCAAGCGCCCTATCTACTGACCTTAGGCAGCACACGACCTATCGACAGGTACTGACCTTAGGCAGCACACGACCTATCGACAGGCCCGCCTGCTGCACGCACAGGTCCCTGTCAAACAGCAGGTGGAAGGGAAACGCCCTGCAGAAGGACGCCGGGCTCATCTTGGGCTCCGTGGACAGGTGGTGCTCGAAGGTCTCCAGGTCCAGCTTCTCCAGCTGGTGCTGCTTGCTCTCCTCGATGATGGCGAACTGGACGTGGTCGCAGTTGTCGTCCTTCTCCTGGATGATCTCCACGATGACGGGGGAGTTGTGGAGTTCTCTGGCCACTTCCTGGTGATGACGTGCAGGGTTATTTATAGGTAGGCCAGCTTGGAAATAGGGCTGGTAAGTAGGTCACTAACCAGTTAAATGGCTCATGCAGGTTTTATTGAGCCGTAGAACTGGTTGGTGACCTACTTACCAGCCCTATTGTTTACAGAGATAGTTGTTAAAATGACTATTAAAATAATATTTTTCTTTATATTTTAGATGTTTTATAAAAAATTCAGCAGTTTTTTTTTTTTGTTTTTTTGTTTTTTTGCATTACGTTATGATTTATATGTTTCTTTACGCGAGTATTACACACTTTACTTATGAAATAAGTGGAATCTTACTTCAATCTGTAGACTCACTGAGGATTTATTACACTCTGCTAAAGACTTGCTTTTTAATGATATCGATAAACCAGACTTCCATTTGATAATACCGATACCTAAAACAGTACACTGATGATACCGATACCGCAGACTCACCTTTAAAATACCGATAGCGCAAACAAACCTTAACGATACCCACACTGCAGACTTACCTTCACGATACCGATACCGTAGACGTACCTTAACTATACCGATACTGTAAACTTACCTTAAAGATACCGATACCGTAGACTTACCTTAACGATACCAATACTGTAAACTTACCATAGCGATACCGATACAGTAGACTTACCTTAACGATACCGATACCGTAAACGTACCTTAACGATACCGATGACTATATGCTCAAGTCCAGGTCTGTCGGAGTAGTAATGTAGGACCGTGGCCCCGTCGGGCCTCTCAGTGCACCTGAAGGACGGGGCCCTCATCCCCGGGTAGATGGTGGACAGGTGGTCGTGGAGGGCGTCAAGGTTCTGTAGGAAGTCGGTGGTGGTCGCTCCCAGAACCTGGGGGGGGGGGGGGGGCAGGGACAAAAGGATTGCACTGGTTTTGTTTAGCTAATCAAGCACATATTGATAGAAGCATGTAATATCTGTGATATATATGTATTTTCTGTCATATCTGTCATATCTGTCGTATATATAATATCTGTAATATCTATAATATCTGTAATTAGAGGCGTAGCGACCCTTCCCGGCACCCGGGGACAAACTTTTCGATTTGCACCTCCCCCCTCGAGATTTCGATTTGCACCCTCCCCCCCCCCCCCCCCTCAAACTTTCAATTTGCACCCCCCTCAACCTTTCAATTTATTTTTCCAACCCATTGTGGCGCCCCCTAAGCTCGGCGCCCGGGGACATATGTCCCCCCCCGCCCCCCCCCCCCCTCGCTACGCTACTGTCTGTAATATCTGTAATATTTTTAATATCTGTAATACCTGTAATATATGTATAGAACAAAAGACAAAAGAACAGAACTATATCTTCACCGTAGTTAGTTAATCAAAGACATAATGACTTGTGTAATATATGTGTGTAATTAGAGACATATATGTTCCTTTAGATAGTCAACGACAAAATGCGATAATTATATGTTTCTTACTAGCACAGGACACATACAAAGACGGAAGGTTGCTTATTGTTTATAAAGTAAAATAAAGAACCAGGCAATATTGAGTGTGAAGAGTTAATTCGACAGATGCCAAATGTAGCTCTTGTAGAGAGAAAACCTTAAGGAGGAGGAATGTAACTTAACTGCAGACTAACTGCGTGGTTTGTTCCATCTTTACAACTGCTACATTTTAAAACCTGTTTCAACGTTCTATGTTAGAGGTTTCTTTATTCCCAATAGATGTGATTATCTAGTACACATGCACCTAACTATGTGATTTCTGAATGGAATGAAAGACAACATGACGGAACTCTGTGTTACCTGTCATCTAGCAGGTTAATGTCAGTGTCAGGTATCACGTGATTGGCAGGTCTATAAATAAACTTACCTTCAGGATCTTGTCATAGCCTGACTCGACACAATACTCAAAAAACATTTTCCCGAAGAGTTGGAGGACGGTGGCGGCATCAACATCTGTTGGGGGGGGGGGGGGGGGGTAAGATGATTATATTGTGTAAACAACAGGGACAAAGCATATGTTCAGTACTTCAATAAGGATTAGATTTAGAGTTTAAAACTTACAGTTTATTTTTATTTTATTTTTTATTTTGAATGAATTTTTACTGTATCTTGCAGCTGACTCGCACACTTTTTTATGTGTTAACAAAGAAGTCATTAAACGTAATTTAATAAACGACTGTCCTTTTCACCACCATCCCAGCTCCCACACTCGACTTACAACTACCGTAAACTCCACCTTTAATCAACAAGCGACTCCATCAATTCCGCTCCATCCACATCACATTTGACACTATCCATGGTTCAATCTATGGCTCCACCAAAAGCTCCACCATAGAAATTACCCCCAATTCCACACAATCCACCCAAAATTCCATCCCATATTCTCTCGACTCCACCTAATTCACACATCTACCTCGTCTCCACACACAACTTCACTCTTATCTTCACCACTCAAACTACGACCCCACCTACGACTCCACCCATGACCCCCTCATGACTCCACCCACGACTCCACCTATGACCCCCACCCCATAACTCCACTCTATGACTCCCCATATGACTCCACCCTATGACTCTACCTTATAACTCCATCCTAGACTCAACTCATGACTCAATCAATGACTTCATTTATGCCTTCACGATGACTCCACCTCAGCTCTAACTATGACTCCACCCACGACTCCACCTATGACCCCCACCCTATGACCCCCACCCTATGACCCCCACCCTATGACCCCCACCCTATGTCCCCCACCCTATGTCCCCCACCCTATGTCCCCCACCCTATGACCCCCACCCTATGACCCCCACCCTATGACCCCCACCCTATGTCCCCCACCCTATGTCCCCCACCCTATGACCCCCACTCTATGACCCCCACCCACGACTCCACCAAAGACTCCACCCATGACTCCACCCTATGACCCCCACCCCATGACCCCACAACCCATCAACCAAACCGTCTGGAACTTACTGAGCACCTTGCAGGCGGCACCGACCAAATCATACGAGACACTGTCGTCATACACCTGTCTGACCAGGAAGTCTCCGTCCATGTCCAGGTACGCTTCCTGCCTGTACGGTCACACAAGCAGTGACGTCAGCACAATAATCATAGTTACGTCATTTCAATTTCACAAATGTTCCCTAATTACTTATCTTAGGATGAATGTTCATTTATCACAGACAAATTTCCGATAATACAAACGTTAGCACAACAATAACGACATCGCAATAAGACAAATCTTACGATAGCAACAGTTCAACAAAATAAGACAAATGTCATAAACACAGTGACGGCAACAAAAGAAAACAAATGTTACATTTACATTGACAGCATCAAAATAATACAATTATTACAGAAACAGTGACAGCAACAACATACGATAAATGTTACGGATACAGGGATGTCATCAACATAATACAAATGTAACAGTAACAATGACGGCAACACAAACAAAACAAAAGCTAGTGTATCAGCACATAATCTTTCCTACACCGCTGCAGTACCCGCTAAATGGTGTTTTATTTAAGACGGCATCAGCTATTTTAATTAGCCTACATTCTTTTCAATCACCTGTATTTTTCTTAGCTATTTCAATTCCTGTACCGTACCAGGTATAAAAACAAACATAACAGTTCATCCACGTCAAGTGGTGTATTTGTTCATGTCAGATTTACAGATTTTTTTTACGGTGGTCTACAGATTGTTGATGTGCCGTGGCATTGTTTGTTGTTTTTTCGTTTCGTATTATTGTTTCCGGTAAAGATTTGTTCACGCTGATTTTCACAATTGCCGGGTGAGTTTTGACTATCAAAACGTTCTACAAATAGGAACTTCGGAGGCTGGTTTTTTATTTTTATTTTTTATTGTGTGTGTGTGTGTGTTTAATTCCAGACTTTTTTTTGTAATGAGAAAATTCCGAGAGGTCATTCGATTTACTGACGCAATGTGTGGGTTGTTTGTGTGTGCGTGAGTGTGTTAGTGTGCTACTAGGTTTGTGTGTGTAACACACCACAACAAAACACACCACAACACACCGCACACCATAACGCGCAACACACAACAAGACACACCATTCCACAAAACGCCAGAACCGCAAGACACCGCATACCACGAAACACCACATTTCACGAGACACCTAATACCACACACCACCAGACGCCAGTAGAGAGAATATACCACAGTACATCACACACCGCAAGACACAACACAAAGCTAGACTTTACACCAGAATCTACAAGACATAAGACAAGAGACACCACAAGACAGTATAAACCACAGATATCTAAGACAAAAGACACCAGGATAAATAAGAAAATATAAACCACAGATATCTAAGAAAGTAGACAATACACCAGACAGCACAAGACAGTTTATACTAGATATAACAAGACAGTATAAATCACAGAGTTCTAAGACAGTAGACACAAGACACCAGACAACACAAGACAGTTTATACTACAGATATAACAAGACAGTATAAATCACAGGTTTCTGAACAGAAGACATTAGACACCACAATGCACTAGGTAACACCTTACACCATATTCTACAATACAGAAGCCAACCGACACAACAAGACAGTATGAAGTACACATATCTAAACAGAAGACATGAGACACCACAAGACAGTATCAACTACACATATCTAAACAGAAGACATGAGACACCACTAGCAAATATAAACCACAGATATCCAAGACAGAAGTCAGCAGACACCACAAGACACTAGACAACACCTTACACCGAACTCTACAAAACAAGCCAGTATATACACCAGACACCACTAGACAGTATAAACACCAGACATTCCCTACTTGATTTGCTTCCAAGCCTCCTCCCCAAAATTCCTGATGACCAGCAGCTCAAGGGCGTAGTTGACAAAACCGTACTGAAACAACAGGCGTTCATTAGCTTAATTACCCTAATTACTGAAATGAATAAAAGCCCGGGCATTATTTAGATTCAGCATGATAAACCCTACAAATCACATATAAACTCAGAATACAATAAAAAGTGTATATGATTTGTTAAATTTAAAATAAAACGCAGTCATTACAAACCTACATCACCAGCATGGATTATTGTATATTTCCTTGGTGTACGAAGTAAATAAAGTATGAAGTATAGCTATTGTTATTTGTATCGTTTAAAGCTTGGGCTGGGTTAGAGTGATTTAAATTAAAGTTAAGACGAACTTTGTTGTGAGTTCCTTTCTCAACTTGGGTCGATCATGGATCGTTGTCCTTTTCTCGATATGGTATAAAGTTTAAATAAACGCTAAACATTACGTTTGCTAACAGCTGCGGTTGCATAATCTGCCGAAAGGAAATTGCAGTTGATAATCATATTGTTAATCCTGTTTCATTTCGGTATTTTCGCTCCTAGATTGGTTGCTGTCCCCCAGCTAACGAGCCCAGTCTGTCTCGGAGTTCGAACTCGGGACTTTTTTGCGAACCCAAGACGGATTACGGGTAGGCTAATACTAGAGCACAGATGGATTTAATATTTTAACCTCGTTAGAGAGAGCAGGTGATATATATGTATATATATATATATATATATATATATATATATATATATATATATATATATATATATATATATATATATACATAAATATATATATATATATATATATATATATATATATATATATATATATATATATATATATATATATATATATGCTTAGACTCCATGTTCCTCAGCCTGCACAATTCTACATTATAAAATACGAGCCGTCCCGCGGCGTATCATACGCCGCTATTTAGTTGTTTTATTTTCTACTTTTCAGTAATTCATAATTTGTGAATTCGACAGTACCAATGCTGCCACTGAAAATATTTGCTTTAAAACACTAACCCCCACCCCCCTTTCCCCTAACCCCGACCCTACACCCCCCCCCCCCCCCCCACCCGTGAAAGCAGCCTCCTCTTAGTTACCTCCTGTAAGTTTAAAATCGATTCAAACATAATATCTGCCCCTAATAGCCGTCACTAAACCCGGCTCTACGATTTGTAAACATTTAGCGTGACCACATCTCACCAGACCATATGGGGGTGGGGTGGGGGTGGTAGTGATAGTGAGAAAGAGAGGGGACTGTAAGGCGCGCTTGCAGCTTGTTTTCTAACGTCTCCCAGATGAGAATTATATATATATATATTGATAGATTGAGAGCAGAGGAACTTTTATAACATTTTTAGGGAGGAGCTGGACGTGTTGACAACCCCCCCCCCCCCCCCCCACCAGCTCACGTAACCCCAAGATCTGCCTATACCCTATAGTCAAGTTCCCTTTTTGAAACTGTCGGCGGGGGCAAGTAGGGATCGGAATGACGTAACGCATTCTTGTGTAACTTGTGTTACTTGTGCTTGTAAAGCTCCTTTTCAAACCTGGCGTTTTAGGGGGCAAGTGAAGTAGAGTTCACCTGTTTCTGTAACCTCGGCATGTGAAGGGATAGTGTGGTCAGCCTTTACTTTCCCCATCTCGAGTTTAGTACCCATCAGAGCTGGGTGGAGATTCTATTATCTGGAACCCGGATTCGATTTCGAGACATTCGGGACAGATGTCTAACGCTCTATCGCTAGGCCACACACAAAAACAACACGCCCTCCCCTAGATCAGCCTATGTACACGAGTCCAATTAGACCACGGATTTATATTTGCCTGACAGTGAGCCTAAGTCGTCTGCTACACTGCAACACAACATACTTGTTGCTGATAATCCACATGTCAAAACGTTAATCCACGGCGGATTAAAGAAATTAATTAGAGATGTCACTTACCATGTTGAGACGCGTTGATCTATTCCCGCTAATTGACGTCCAAAGAATCAGTTTTTAAAAATCTTCTGCATCACAAAGTTAACTTCAAGAATTCACAAAAATCATTTTTACGCCAATTAAAAATACAACCTTTTGTGTATTATAGTTTTTAAATCATTCAAAAGTTAATACCATTCCACTCAATATTCAATAATGTTTGATCGAGTGTATTTTTTAACGCAATAAAACGAACAATATTTTGAGCATTAATCACAGTGCGAATGGAAGACACACGGGGAGCCAAGTCTCGCCCTCTCTCGCGTCGCGCGAGATCTCGGTTTGGCTGGGACACTGCGCTATTTTAGCGGATCTTTGTGATCGCTGTGTTAGGGCGACCTAGGTAGTAGGCCACATACCATACACGCACGTATTCAAATCTGACGTTAAATTAAATAGTAATGATTGATACATAAGGGTTTGATCTAATTTATACAATTATAGAATTTATAGTAACTTTAACAGATCCACTTCTCTCGATTAAATATTTTGTTCAACGAAATAAGTATAAAATCTCTGTTTTGGGCTAAGATGACTGCTTAAATGTTGTAGAAAACAAATAAATCTAGCTTTTTGCTTACACGATAACTTTCCCCCACGTGTCAATTTTCTGTTAGTTAAAAAAAATCAATGTTTATAAGTATAATGATGTTAAGAAATCAGACAAAAAGAGCGAAAATATTTGATGACAAATCTGGTTCTTATTTTAGGTGTATTCTAAGGGAGAAAATCGTGAAAATGTTAAATGATTAGTTATTTTTACTGAGTTACGTACTATTAATCTAAGAAAAATGATAGCAGTCGTAATTAAAAATAATAAAATTTAAAACAATAAATAAATTTTACAACAGAGGCGTAGCGAGGCGGGGGGGGGGGGGGAAGGGGGGGGGGGGGTTACATATGTCCCCGAGCGTCAAAATGGGTTGGAAGAACAAATTAAAATCTCATTTTAACTGTATTTTTGCATTATAAATATAAAATATATATGGGTGGGGGGTGCAAATTGAAAGTTGAAAGGCTGCTCCCGAATGGGGCGCCAAATAGAAAGTTTGTCCCCGGGCGCCGGGAAGGGTCGCTACTCCTCTGTTTTACAATATGGCATAAAACGATGACTTGACCAATCAAGGATCACCTGACCATAATGAAAGGAAATTAGAAATTAATGTTTTGTTAACAAAAAAAGCTAATGGAAATATTAAATAAGTGTCTATTATTATTAAAGATACTTTTAAGATACACGTGTTTAATAATGAAATGCTAAATAATCTCGTTGTGTTATAAATATAATTAATATGGGCCACATATTGAATGAAGATGCTAATCAAGGGCCAACTAATAATGTAGATTAATCCCTAATGATCCCAGCTGTTCATCATCCATGATTAAATCATTCCGTCTAAGCTTTAACAAAAATTACAGCTGAATAGTTTTACATGACATTATTGTAAGTAGCAGCCTGTGTCACTCATATATATCATAGCCCAGCACATTGCCGAGTTTACGTTTGATTTAAGGAAACACTGGGATAGGACTTAGACTCAAAGTAAGTTGGTTAGATCTATCCTGTTTTCTATTGTCTCAGTGCTCTCTAACCACATGTATTATTAAAAAAAAATTTACTTTAACATTTTTATAGCGGTTTATTTAGTGTGTAACTGCTGTTATTTAAACAGTATTCAATTGTAGATTTTACTGTAAGTCTGTTTAAATGTGTTCGTTGTTACATTTTTTTTTTGACGTAGATAAATTTGAAAGCCGTTTTTAATTGTGAATTTAAGGTCATCGTAAATGTTTTTTTTTTAAATGTTAAGTCCCCCCCGTTCAGACCTAAAGATTGATAGGGCAGATGAAGTAGAGTTCATCTGTTTCTTGACCACGGCATGTGGGGGCTGGGGGATGGTATGGAGGGTCACTTACATGCTGTTTATTGCATTCTATCTTTGAGTTTGTTGTCTTTAAAAAAAAGTTCAGTCTTATTGCGAACAAAAAGAACTAATTGTAAAAAAAAAAAACGGATTGTTTATTTCAACAGTGTCGCTAGCAGGTCGAGTGGTTGTTGTGACGGGAGCTTCGAACGGGATTGGACGAGAAATCGCGATACTTCTAGCACGAGAGGGCGCCAGGGTGGCACTGGGCGCCAGGAGCGTGGAGAAGCTTCAGGGTGTGGTCAGCTCTATACGTGACGGTGGGGGACAGGCCGTTGGGGTTAGGACGGATGTTACCAACATGGAGGAGGTGAGAAGAGGATTTGAATGGAATTTTTTTATAGACTGTACCGAGCGATGCTGGTGTGTGGTATTGTCATATTTTGTACTGTGGTGTTTGGTAGTGCCTCGTTTTATTACTTCCCATTTTGGTACTATCCACTTCGGTACTGTCATTGCCAGTCACTGCCTATTTGGTAAAGTCTCCTTTCAAACCTGGCGGTCTACGGGGCAAATAAAGTAGAGCTCATCTATTTCTGTGACCTAGGCATATGAGGTACCGCATGCCTCTCTGGTACTGCCTTTTCGTGCTGACATTTTTGGTACTATCCTTTCGGAACCGTGTCACGGCCTTTTCTCCTGCCAATCATGGCACGAACTCAAAAAAAAAAAAAAAAAATGGTCCGTTTAAAAACAGAATCATCCACAACCTTCTCTGTGTCTCATATAGTAGCTAACAGAAAAAGTTACTGAGTAGGCGTTGTGCGACTAAACTAAAATTTAGTACAAATTTTACATTGTGATTTCTAAAGACCATTAATTAACTGTCTAATTACAGTAACCACTGCAGATTTACGAAATATAATTAATATAAACTGGCAAATTGCTGTAACCACTGCAGGTTTATGAAAGACCATTAATTAACTGGCTAATTACTGTAACAATTATCGGTTTACTAAAGACCATTAATTAACTGGCTAATTGCTGTAATCACTGCAGATTTACGAAAGACAATTAATTTACTGACTAATTACTGTAACCACTGCAAGCTTACGAAAGACCATTAATTAACTGGCTAATTACTGCAGGTTTACGAAAGAACATTAATTAACTGGCTAATTACTGCAGGTTTACAATAGACCAGTGGTTCCCAACCTTTTTCGAGTGGCGACCCCCTTTCATAAAACGTAAGTGACCCGCGACCCCCATATAATTAACAAGTCGAAATTAGTAAAGAAAAAAATAAGCACTAAATTAATATTTTCTAGTAGACTTTCAATATGAATTATTCTTGATAACTGTTTTAATACGATGAGCAAAATTACATGCTATTAACAAGCATTAACTAGCATTAACAATTAAATTTTGCAAATTTAAGAATTCATCTTGTTATTCATCGGCAATGCTGGTAACATCAAGGAAAGCAGAGAATGGGTGACAATGCAGATTCTTCTTCTTTCAGCTCGGGGAAAATAACGCCGCAGTTCTTGTCAAGAGATTCAAGATGCACAGAATCCTTTAAAAATTTTATCTATCACACCACACTGCAGAGTTTCTCAAACATGGCAGTATTTCAAATATTTATTTTTCCTCGACAATTTTGCAGCTTTGATTAAAATGCCAAGATATTATCATAAAAAGAGATAATATTCGTTCCTTTATCAGGTTAAGCTTATGTTGATGTTCGAATATGTCTGCTAGGTATGATACTCTCTACAACCACGCCATGTCGTTAAAGTATATCAAAAGGTCTTGTTTCCTTGCACTTCCAAGATTATCTTGATTTCAGCTTTCAAATCAAAAACAAGATTGACGTTTCCTATTGACAGCCAGCGTACTGAAATGTAGAACCTCGTGATCTTTATTCATGTCTTTGCACAGATCTTGAAACAGACAGGTATTTAGGGCTCCAGATTTAATATGATTTACGACTTTTATTAGCAATGGAGTCGGATAAGTCTTGCTGGCGAGTGCATATGTGAATTATGCAGTGGATTCACCTTCATTAGGTAGCTAAATCTTTTACCTTTTACTTTTTTTCTGAAACTTCCATTTTGACCCAAACATGACGCACCATCAGTACAAGCCCCACAGCCGTTTTCCCATTTTAATCCTCCAGTTTGAAAAAACGTATTTATTTTCTCCATAATATCTTCACAAAACATCAACTCTTATTTGCTAACATCTGAATGAATATATTTCACAAAGACAAGCAACTGCGAACACAAACTCACGTCTGTCGATTCGTCAACTTGAAAATCAAACAACGGTGAAAGCTTGATTTCATTCTAAATTTGTCATTTAAAATAAGCCGCTGCATAGTATTATTAGACAGAGATATGTTGCATCTTTACTGCACTGGAATCCCCAAGAATTAATTTTACCATCTTCAGCATACATGGTTTAATGAGATTTTCTCCTTTGTGTGAGAGGTTTTTTGATTGGCAATTTCTAATACTTTTTCATATGATGCTTGCACTAATGCTGTGTTTTCTTGGTGAAAACGTTCTGTTCGATAAAGTCTCTGACGTTTTCAACTAGCTTCATGCCGACGAAAAAACTACATATCTTTTTTTCGTGTGTTCCGAATGACTCGTCTCAAATTGACGTTTGGAAGTTTGCATAGACTCCTGACTAAGAACAACTTTGTACAGTACACATTGTTTATTCTCTATTCCATTTCCGGTGATGTTAGTAATGCCGAATTTCAAATATTTTTCTAAATATTTATGTTTTTTATTCATTGCTAGAGTTTAGTCTACCAGTTGGCGACCCCCCAAAAAGCCCTTCGCGACCCCCAAGGGGGTCGCGACCCCCAGGTTGGGAACCCATGCAATAGACCATTAGTTAAGTGGCTAATTACTGCAGGTTTACGAAGGACCATTAATTAACTGGCTAATTACTGCCAGTGTTTCTTCCAGACTTTTTCTCCGGGGGGGGGGGGGGGCACTTGAAATTTTCGGGGGGGGGGCGGTAGACTTTCTTCGGGGGGGGGGGGGGGGGCGGACACTGTTAAAAGTATATATTTTTTTATATAAATTATATAAATTTCATTTCGTTCGTCGAGGGGGGCGGTAAAAAATTTTCGGGGGGGCTTCGCACCCCCGAAGAGATGGCTGGAAGAAACTCTAATTACTGCAGGTTTACGATAGACCATTAATTAACTGGCTAATTACTGCAGGTTTACGATAGACCATTAATTAACTGGCTAATTACTGCAGGTTTACGATAGACCATTAATTAACTGGCTAATTACTGCAGGTTTACGATAGACCATTAATTAACTGGCTAATTACTGAAGGTTTACAAAAGACCATTAATTAACTGGCTAATGACTGCAGGTTTACGATAGATCATTAATTAACTGGCTAATGACCACAGGTTCAGGCCCTGATACACCAGGCTGAGGCGACCTTTGGACCCGTGGATGTTCTCGTCAACAACGCTGGCGTCTGGTTCCACACGATGGTCAAAAGTCTGCGACTGGAGGAATGGAACCAAATGATCGACGTCAATTGTAAGGTAAGGAAACTATTTCAGACACGATGATCAAAAGTCTGCGACTGGATGAATGGAACCAAATGATCGACGTCAATTGTAAGGTAAGGAAACTATTTCAGACACGATGATCAAAAGTCTGCGACTGGATGAATGGAACCAAATGATCGACGTCAATTGTAAGGTAAGGAAACTAATTCAGACACGATGGTCAAAAGTCTACAGCTGGATGAATGGAACCAAATGATCGACGTCAATTGTAAGGTAAGGAAACTATTTCAGACACGATGGTCAAAAGTCTGCGACTGGATGAATGGAACCAAATGATCGACGTCAATTGTAAGGTAAGGAAACTAATTCAGACACGATGGTCAAAAGTCTGCAACTGGAGGAATGGAACCAAATGATCGACGTCAATTGTAAGGTAAGAAAACTATTTCAGACACGATGGTCAAAAGTCTGCGACTGGATGAATGGAACCAAATGATCGACGTCAATTGTAAGGTAAGGAAACTGTTTCAGACACGATGGTCAAAAGTCTGCGACTGGATGAATGGAACCAAATGATAGACGTTAATTGTAAGGTAAGGAAACTATTTCAAATCAATACGTGATACATATTTTCGATTAATTGAACTTTTTCTTATATATACATGCATTGTAAAAAAAAGGAAATAGGCGACAGTTAAGAGTCATCTTAAGATGTATAGCTTATATTAGGATACTGTTTATCTTTATTTTTTTTAAAAATAAGGGTGTTCTTCACGGAATAAAGGCAGTCCTACCAGGCATGTTAGAAAGAAAATCTGGCAATATTGTCAACATATCGTCGGATGCTGGCAGAAAGGTAAGAGTGAGAAAATTGTCAAATTATGGGCATTTAATTTTCGTTTTAATTTAACGTTTAAAAACTAAATATTTTGAAGTATTATTTTAAAAAAAAAAGGTTTTCAAAAGAATTAGTTATTTATATGTTGATTTAGATAAATGTAATTTTTAAATTATTTTGTAATATTTTACCAGGCTATTCTTGGACTTGGCGTGTACACTGGTACCAAATATTTTGTTGAGGGTGTCACCCTGGCCCTAAGACAAGAAGTGGCGAAACTCGGGGTACGGGTGACCAGTATACAGCCGGGGAAGGTTGAGACATCATGGGGGCCAAGGATAGATGAGGAGGTACGTGATTTAATGGGTGCTAGTTGATAAAATGGGTGCTAGTTGACTTATTGGGTAGTTTAAAAACTGATAACTACATAATGTATCTGATACTGGGCTACTAATAATTATGTTGTAGATATCTGTGTTATTTGCTTTTACTTCCGTTGATCACATTTTTAATATCTCCGTTGGTCATTCGTTTATACTTTGTTGATCAGTTGTGGGTATTTACCTATACCAAAGACCACTTACACCGAATACTGTTTCGCCGAATACCTTTTTATCTATCTTTTGACTGTCCTTCTAACAGAATTAGTGTGGGTTTTTTCTTTCTCCCTCTAATATGCAAATTGTCTATAGCGTCTATAACTTGTATTCATAGACAAAGCTGAAGCAATGAATGCATAATAATAAATGCAGGCGCGAGGCATAATATCGGGGAATAAATTAAGAATCAAGTTCTGTTTTGTTCGCGTGGGTCTATAAATGTCAGTGTAACGTCACATAAACCATTCGGTGTGCTAAATTTGCAACGTTATGCACATAGAGGTAATTTTTTTTTATTAAGGGGAACTAAACGCTATTAAATTTTTCATAAGGGGAAGCTACTATGTGAGTGAGTTATTTAATTAAAATAAAAAGACTTGTTTATTGATGTTTAATTTTTTGTGCGGTAATAAATTAATCTGCGTATGATAGTGACATGATTTAGGGAAAATGTTAGGGGCGTCAATAGTAAAGCTGTTGGAAAGGTTTTGGACACAAGCGATATATGCGGGCTGGGGGAGCTGAAAAGTATGGCATGCATTTATATTTTTATACAATTATGCATTTTCTAAAGGGAAACAAGCGATGAAAAATATTTACAACGAGCTGACCCGCGACTTAGCATACGCCGCTATCTAATTGTTTTATTTTCTACTTATCAACAATTCAGAATTTGTGAATTAATGAACAACAGCTAAAGCTAATACCAAAATTTATGAAAAAAAATCGATATCTCTTAGGCCCTAGGCCAGTCACAAAAGCCGGTTATTTTTTTATTTTATTTTTGTATTTGGGCTTTAAAGCTCTCAGCCTGTTTTATGCAGCCTTTACAGAAACTGGGAGTAAACAAAAATAACGTTACGTGTATACCTTTTTTTTTTTTTTTTTTTTTTTTTTTTTTGCTTTTTTTTTTTTAACATATGTGCAACGTGTGTGTTTTAGGTTGTTGAGACAAAAATGACCGTTGTTACGTGTATACCAACATATGTGAAAAGTGTGTGTTGCTAAAAACAAAAATTACCGTTGTTTGTGTATACCAACATATGTGAAACGTGTGTGTGTGTTTCAGGTTGCTGAAATCTTCAGGTCTGGTGAGCACGTCGAGAAGCTTCTAGCGCCCTCTGACGTCGCACGTGCTGTGCTCTACGCTGTCACCCAGCCCGGTCACGTGGCCGTCAACGAGATTCTCCTGCACCCAACGGAGATGCCGTTTTAAAGGCTCACCCCCCTCCCACCAACCCAACAGAGGTGCCATTTAAAGACCCCCCCCCCCCAACTCAACGGAGATGCCGTTTTAAAGACACCCCCCCCCCCCAACCCAACGGAGATGCCGTTTTAAAGACCCCCCCCCCTAACACACACACAATTCCTGCACCCAACGGAGATGCCGTTTTAAAGACACCCCCCCCCCCCCCTAAACCAACGGAGGTGCCGTTTTAAAGACACCCCCCCCCACACACACACACACAAACTTCTGCACCCAACGGAGATGCCGTTTTAAAGACCCCCCACATGTTATAAATAAATAAGTTTTTTCTTGAAACTTCGGTCCGTGAGCTTTTCTGTTCTGTTGCATGGTTGATAGGCACTGGGATTCTTTACAATGAAACATCCCAGATTTGTTACATCAAATCACATTAGCACACCTAATTGTTAACAGGTTTTATAGGGAACGAAATGCTAATACTATTCTACCAAAGCATGCAGGGTTTCAGAATAATTTTATAGTAGTCTACACTCCAGTCCTCCCCACAGCCCATCCTCCACTGCCACACAAGATTATTGAGACATTACCACACAACATCAATTAAAGAAAGAATTAAAAAAACTAGTGACAAGCCAGCAAACATAAAATTGTATTCTCCACTAACAGCAATACATGATGTACAGACGTCTATGTTAAGGCATACACAGCCTCCCTGTGAGAGCAGGCAGAAATTAGAAGGCAATATAACACAACTAGGCTGGCAGCTACAGTCAAAAGCCAGGTCAATAAAATATCATGATATAGATTTATATAAATAGATAAAAGTACAGCACCATGAGAATTCAAGTTATTGCTTAGTGAAAAAAGAACATTTAATCACACAAATGTTGCAATTTAAAAAAAAAAGTCAAACTTATTCTAATTATATAGACGAATTTTGTAGATTTAAGGTAGTTCATTTCTTTTCTTAATTGATTATTTCATTAAAATGTGTAAATAAGGTAGAAAAACTTGTGCAAACAGAGCAAAATACAATGTTTGTATTGTGCTTTCTTTTGTAACACTTAAAAAAAAAAATTCTACACAGTAAAGTATTTCAATTCATATATTGTTTGCAACTTTAAAAGAATGCAATACTAAATTTATAATTGACTAGAAAATGTTATATATAAAAAAATCATTTAGTAAACCCCGCCCACAACTAAATTTTCCATATTTTAAAAAACTGCATATGTCCCCTAATTTTTACTTTGCATGTGCAGTTGCTACAATAATTGACAATAACAAAAAATTGTTTTATTTTAAAGCCTGAACATTATGGGGACCAAAAACCAGTGCAACAATTGCACCGAAACAAATAGTGCATACCTGAGCGCACTTAATGTAAAATGATACTCATCATTCAACAGTTGTTCAACTTTGATTATCCACACACACCCACACAAACTATGCTGAAGATAATATGACAACCAAATGTAAAAACCATGCATCTTTCAGCTACAGAGTTTAAAATGCATTCATATATGTAATATAAAATATAGGCATTATAAAATTAAATATTTAAGAGTAAAATATTATCTAGGCCACTTTGAGAAATATATTAACACTGACACAAAACTGTTCTGAACACATCTAACTTCTATAAATAAAATATTTGTACAGTCAAATCTAAAACACTGAAAACACAAATTATACAACATAGTGTCTGACTCAATTAATATTAATTTTAAAATTCTAGGTGCTATGTTATAATCAATATAGTTTTACAAATGGTATATATTGCATATGAAAAGGCATAAAATTGGCTTTTTCTCATGATATAATCTGCCTTCACAATTTTACAACTGATATGAACATTATATGAGGCATAATAATAGTGCCAGATCTATAAATTTCATATGATTTTACATTTTATACTGCTACAGCTTACAACAATATTAAACTTTAAGTAGGAAAGATATAAAGAACTTGATAACTGTATTGTTTATTTTACAAAAAACTGACCACAAATGTCATGAACTACCTAATCTCACTGGATTATGAAATGAAATCGCTGCTTCGATACCCATTAGCAGCATCCAGTCTTACTTTTGTAATTAATTACTTTAGAATTTACATTAATTGATCCTGAAAAGGAGAGCTTTAACATGAATTAATTGTTCCAACATCAGTGGTCCCTTGGATCCTAGTCAGATAATAAAGAACTCAGGTAAAGGGAATTAACACAGATGTTGGTAGTTTTAACATTCAAAGGGAGGTAAGTATCACAAAGATGTAAAATAAATGATATAATGGTTGCTTAGATGCTATTCATAAGTAATTTGGGTTTTTTTTTTCAAAAAAAAAGTAAGAAAACTGATCAACAGACAACAATATTTTGGGATCTCTACTTGCATGTAAAAATTTAACAGAAGGTAAAAATGACTTATGACTTGGTATATCCTATATGTCAAATAACTGTGTATGCTAGAGTGAGCATTAAAACCCCACTTTGCAGCAGACTCACACCAAACCACCAAATGTAAGCTCTCAATACTAATACGGGCGAGGTCTAGGGCTTGTATAAAATCTGGTCAAAGTTAAAGCTGTGTATAGTAGCCCACTGAAATAGTGAAAGGGAAAAAACTCCCCCAAGATCTACAATGTTTGAGTCTATAGTTCCTGCATGCCCTAGTTAATATTTGTAAATTTGGACAATATAAACCAAGTTCAATTTCATCATGTGTAAATTTTAAAGCATTTTCAGGATAAAGTTTACAAAGAGGTTTAAGACAAGTACTATAAAATGGAAGACACACCTTAACTTGTGTAGTGCAAATGAACACTTAAAAAGTTTACAACAGAATATAATATTTAAAGATATTTGAAAGTAGCAATAGATTCTGCATATTGTTTACATTAACAACAAATGACCATTTGTTTGTCGTATTATACCTATGATAAAAAGTTGGATACACTTTTGATGATCTTACAAACTCAAATGAACAAATGGGCATGCATAGTCTGATGTTACAGTGCATGAGCAAGTTCAACGATTCATTTTGGCAACAGACAATCTTGAGATAACAGGACTGCATACAACATATTTTTTCACACCTGCCGTGAAGGTGACAAGCACCACTAACTTAGCTGGACAGCTTCATTTTCTCTAAGATAGGGATGACCATGTCGAAGCGTGGCCGTTTCCCCGGCTCTTCGTTCATGCAGATCTTGATGAGCCGGGAGATGTGGTTGGAGATGCCGGGTGGGATGGAGATACGCAGGGCTTCTAGCGCAACCTGGTTGAGAGAATATACACACATGAGAGGGTCATCAAAATATACACACATGAGAGGGTCATCAAAATATACACAAATTAGAGGGTCATCAAAATATACACACATATTGGTCATCAAAATATACACACATGAGAGGGTCTTCAATAACTGACTATTTGTGCAGAATGTGTACCCTCCACCAGCTATTTTTAAACATCCACTCACCACTAGCCAAACTGACAAAGTTCATCCCCCTTCCAACCCCACAAAATACCACAATTCTAACAAAATGATATTTTTATTTTATGATCTACATATTATCACAAAAGTAGCACAATGCCATGACTTCCTCTCCCCAGGTGATCATCATTTATGGACAACCCCCAATTTCTTATAAAGTAGGGTAAACACTTTTTTTTTCAAAGAAAGGACTTTGCAATGATAGAAAATGCATTTCTGTAATTGTATACACCTTCATTATAAGCTGTTGGTTAGTGAAATATGAATGATTCTATCAGCTATCAAAAAACTTTTCCTGCCAGCCACACAATGAGCTGAGTCCTTACCTTCATCCCAATCTCCATTGGCTCCAGCTCAGCAAAAGGCACCTCCCTTGTCTCCAGCTCCCACAGCAGGATTCCAAAGCTCCACATGTCAGCGGCTCTCACATTGATGTCATCAGGGGCTCTCTGTAAGGCTGGAACGAGGGAATTTTATTTTGTAGGACCTCGTTTTTGGTAATGGCATTTTTAATAAAGGCAATGGTATCTTCAATAGTGACAATGGTATTTTTAATAAAGACTAAAGTATTCTGAATAGTGACAATAATATTCTCGGCCAAAGTCTAAATAGCTTTGGCTGTTCAGGTCCAAAGTAGTGCTAAGAATTACATTTTTGGTTTCAATTTTGGTTGCCGAAGCGGCAGAAAGAAGACCAGGGTTGGTTAAGTAAGACCTAGTAAGTGCAAATAGATGTTAACAGTGCTGGATAGAGGCCAAAGTCCAGTATGGAACTGTTCACAAGCTGTGTTGTAATGTATTTCTAGGGACAGGGGTAAGGGCAGGGCAGGAGGCCTATAATGAATAATTAAAGTAAGCTTACTCTGAATAAATCTGCCACCACTCTGATATAGTGAATACTATAGGATTTTTTAATAGCAGAAATAGGTTCTTTAGCTTGTGGACGAGTCATATTAAGAGCAGGTCAGTTACTTTGTGAAGTAATTAGTAATTAGACCACAAAGGTACATAATTAATGTGCTTACCTTCAGGCGCGCACCAAGCAGGGGAATACAATTTCCCCTTCTCATGGAAGGAGAACTTGTAGTCAGCCATGTTAATCTTGGCTGTCAGATCCTCATCAATCTTTAATAAAGTAGACAATCAAAGACAGTCAGTTTAGGGTTAACAATTACTTCTAATAGCTATTTTTTTCTTGTGGAAAGATTAAATTAATTACATTTATTAAAATAATATATTTTCTCCTTATAGCATGTTTAAGTACCAACACGACTTTCCTTGTAGTACAATTTTGGTTATAGTAAATATTAATTATAAAAAACAAAATTAAATTATAAAAGATTCATTACATAATGGATATACCAACACAGCGTTCAATGCACCAATAAACAAATGGCAATAAAATGGATTGGTATAGCATAACATAGCACACACACAAAAACTTTTCAATATGATTTCAACTGATCAACATAACTACATCAACACTTGAAAGGTCATTACACATGCATTTACTCCACTGCAAACTGACCAATGGTCACTGATAGTGTCAGTAAAAAAAAAATTCAATTAGTTCTTATTGACTATAAAATATGTTGAATATATTCACAATCAATGCCAAAGGCTAAACAGTCTTATCTATAAACAATTTCATTCACATTTTATTAGTAAAGTTCTAGAACACATTTATTTCTCATTTCATCAGCAAACAATTTCTGCTGAATAGGCTGAAAAACACATTTTTATATCCATCCACAGTGCTGATTAAAGTAATCTAAGATAGAATGCAAAGTGCGTATGTACATTAATAGATAGCTAGATACCCACAAGCTTAACTTGTATCTGTGAGACAATAAACCATTTACCAAGATATCTGTAGCAAATAAGCACTAGCTAAAGTAAAAATAGGATTTTGTAGTATTTCACTTTAAAAAAAAAATTATAGTGCTTTGTTAACTTGTAGCTAAACCATGAAAGAGGAAGCAGTGAAAGGCTACTCTAAATTATAAGCAACTATCTTGATTCTCCTACATTAATATTTGAAATGTTAAGAGAGTCCCCATCACAACTAACTACTTTTGACTAACAGAGAATGAGAAACATGTAAATATATCCTGAGCATTGCAGCATCTGACAAAGGCTAATTATTTTGTTCTATGAGAATAATAAAGTTTCTAGAGAGGTGAATAAAAACTGTCAGGTGTCACTTGAGCAAAAAATTGATACCCCTGATAATGTGATGGACATTTATTTGCAGTTATTTAAGTGAAAATCCTGACATGAAAATCAACTATCAATGACCCAGATTATTTTATTGCAATTAAAACCTTAATTTACTTAATTTATAATTACATTTTTAGTCACTAATTAAAACTTGAAAGGCAATTAACAGAAACATTATTCTGTTGTATGTCCTGGTACAGGTTGTATAATTTTAATGGGTTAAAAGGAGAAAAAGCTACCAATACAAAATATGTGACAAAAAAAAATGAAAACACTACTATTCTGAGGGAGATCTGTATTAGTAGCTGTAGTATAAAATGTTGAAACACTAAAAAGTAGTGGTTTTAGTAGATAATGGGTGTCTACAGATGCTCAAGTAGGCAAGAACACCCCAGGAGAAAGAAGGGCAGGCAAGTGCAGACAGTTTACCCCATTCAGGGTAGCGTCCCCTGACGTGTACTTTGGGTCATCCACATTTATTTTGGCCAGGTCCTCGTCGATCTAAAAAACCCACTCAGTTGTCAGTAAAAGAGAAGCAGCATTCAAATCAGAAACATCAATAACAATGAAAATATAATAATAATATTGTATCAAACTTGTGAAGCTTTAATGTCTCCTGAATAAATATCACTACATCATTGGTTGGTGGCTTGGCTATAAAAAGAAGCTAATTATAGTAGCATAGAAATGTCTTCTAGTCTTTTGTGTAATAAATTTTAAAATATTTTATAGGAAATATTTATTTGGTGTTTAAAATTATAGCAAAAAATAAAATAAAATATTACAAAGTTTACTTAGAAATAAACATATTTTTTAGCAAGGGCATAAAAATTATTGCAAAGTGGCTCAAAAATCTATATAAAAAATGTGTAACACAACAAGCACAAATTTTATAAAAATCTTATAGCGAACCTAAAAACCAAGTAAAATACAAATAAAACAATAGAATAGAGTGTCTACCCACCATGACGTGTTTACTGGTGAGTACAAAGTTAGGGATGATGGGCTCCATAGAATGTAGAAACTCCATGCCCCTGGCAATATCAATGGCAAATCTCAATGCTTGGTTCTGGTCTACCACTATACCTACAAGAATTCATACATTTTACATAGATTAGCTGATTTTAACATTCATACGGCTTCACAATACAAAAATAGGGAGATGATAGCTAATCAAGGGCTATCAACTGATTTAAATTTTATAGAATGTTTAAGCAAATGTAGTTTAGAGAAAAAAAGTCACATGTTTATAAGATTTGTATCAAATATTATGGATAGGTTAAAATTGAGGAATCGGTTTACAAAAATTGATTTTCACATTGTTTTATTGTATAGAATAGCCAAACAAAAACTGGAAGAAAAAAAGGAAATGAGTTGCATGGTTCACTGTTAAATGAGCAGCTTTGCTGTTTCAAAACACACTAATTCTCTAGTACTGTAGTTTGAGCCAAATATTTTAGAATGTCATGACTGCTGATGCCACATAATCCACTCGATTACTAACAGAACAGAACCAATTATTTTAAAATATGACATTTAGAGTAGCCATACAATCCTCACCATTATTAAACACGAGCAGGGTTCGGACACCTAAGTTGAAAACAAATTTTATGAGTTTTCCAGAAGGAATAAAAAATTGAAGGATCAGTTGTGCAGAAATAAGCTATTGAGCACTAACTCTAAGAAATTAATTATAGGAAGCACGTAATTTGAGACAGCTTTTCACAACAAAATTTTAAACAATTATGAAGGTGTGTATAAAGTTAGATGGGTTAAGCTTGTTGTCTCAACATGTTTGTCAAACCATTCCACCTAACACAAATTTTACTAAGATATTTAAAAAAAAAAAAAACCCATAGTAAATGGCAGTTTGTTGTTATCATCAACTAAGGAAATTTGTGATAATAATTCTAATGAAGTTCCTACAGTACACATATCAAACTCACCAGATTCCCCATGTAGTGTGTTATAGAGGGACCCAAATGGCATGAACTGGCTAATGACAACCAAATCTGGTGGATCTTTTGGAGCACAGCACCCCAGAACTGCTAGAACATTTGGGTGGTTAAATATCCTAGGGAAAAAATCATTTTAATTAACATTTTAATTCAGATTTTACTTTATTTAGGTTTACATATTTTTATATTCTTAAATTGTTTAATTAAAATGAAATATCTATTTTTTTTAATTACACAGCATTTTTTACTGAAAATAAACTGAAAAAAAAAAAGAGGTGATTTTATTTTCTTTATTTCAAACAAAATTTGAAAGAAATGTAATTGAACAACCAGTCATATGGAAGAGTAAAATAAAACCTTAGTTTAGGAAATTCTTCTTTGAAGTCCCTGATATTTCTGTCTGAAACTGTCTTCATACTAAGAATCTTGGCCACTATATCATTGGACTGCCATGACCCTCTCCATGTCTGAAATTATAAACACCTAATTATAGACACCTAATTATAAACACCTAATCAAGACGCCATCCTAGCAGGACTTACAAGAACAATTCAAATAAAAGAGATGCTGGGGCAACACGTCCGTGTAAAGAGATTTATGCATTTTTATTTAGTAGATTTAAAACATCTAGGGTTATATACTGTTTCTGATGCTCTTAATTGCAGGAAATACATTCAATAGATGTTAAAATTTCTCTGCTCTTTTCTCAGTACAGGTCAAGTGACCTCGGCATATGAATGGAAGATGTGGGCAGCAGTATGCCCAGTCACCTTTACCTGTTGCAAACTCAGGCCTGATTTCCCACATCAAAACTTTAGATTTAACAGTTGTGCTCTCAATGATCCAAACACTCTATTCCATACTATTAATAAAGTCTACAAATATATTTTTAGAATGTTGGATGCCCCTGATTCTAGCAAATAATAGTTTAGACTCACTTCGCCTGAGTGTGTCTTAGCAATATGACCAACCAGCTGAAGTTCCTTGATATCAATGCCTGTGTGGCGTGACAAAATGGCATCACCTAACAAAAAAGTCAACATAAAATTGTAAGTGTTTAAGAGAGTACAAAGAATCCATTTTCTAACATCTTGAATATGAGTATCTATAAAAAATATGTCCATAGGATAGATGATGTAAAGTTCAACTGTTTCTTTGACCTCAGAATATGAAGGGTCTGAACAAGGTCAGCATTATGCTAAATAGCCTTTACTCTCCTAACGTGAGCCAGATACCCTTTAGAGTTGGGCGTACTCAAGAACTTTTTACAGACTTGAGCCCAATTAAATTGTGTCAAAAACCTTAATTATGACTATGTTTTGTGTGAAAATATAAAAAAAATCAAACGTCTGTATTTAGTAGGTATGTGTATTGTGTTACCTATGACAAACCTCCAAGTATGTATTGAGCAATAAAGAGTGAAATACCTCTAAATCACGTCTATATAATATACAGAGCAACTAATAATAGAGAAAAGCAAGCCCTTACGACTTCTTGTTTTGTATCCCAACCAACTTCTATCCTTGAAGGGAATTTTGCTCAAATCCTGGCCACATAGTTTAGCTTGTTCTAAACAAAAGATAAACAATTATCAACAAGAGCTTATGTTTGATATCTATATGCTCCCTAACTTTTAATTATAATTTAAACTCAAAATAAATTTAGACAATATATCTCCTTTTACATACAAAAATGATACAAAGGATTTTAAAAAACTTTTCATGGATAATTTAAATTAGCTACACCTTTGAAAATTATTATGCCATGTAAATATTTCTCTCTAGAGTAATGAATTGCAGTATGTACAGCTAATTTTTTTCTCATATTCAACATGAGCATGCACTAACTGAAACTGACTGAAATCATTTAACTGTACCAACCTTGCAATTTTTTGGCCAAGTGTACTTTGCATTTATCAAGAGGCGTTTCACCAAATTTATTACATATGCTGACTAAGGCTCCAAAATTTACTAATTCCTTTCATGAAAAAACAATCAAAACTTTTACTTTAAAAAAATTGAAATAGAAATTTTAACTGCCATAACAGCCATTATTATTTTTGTTATGCCCTATTTAGGTGCTATTTTAAATCATCATTTAAAATGGGAATGAATAAAAATAAATAAATACATGTTGGTTAAAGGTAAATAACTATAGAAAATGAATTTCCTTTATGTTTCTAGTAAAGGGTTTCTTTGTATGTGAGAATGAGCTTTAATTTTCGTTAAATAAGAGGGAACATTTTTTCAATACTTTTACCTTGAAAATATCTAAGTATGTAGCATTTTAGAGAGACCTTCTTGATTAGAAAATGAACTTACAACTTTTTTATTTGATTTATTCCAGTAAGAAGATAAAAATATTACTTGACTGTGGTCTTTGTTTCAGTAAAAATAATTACTAATATTAATATTTTAATAAACTTGGGTCTAACATTGAATTACACTTGTGAATTTTTGTGTTTTTTTGACTGCTCTTTTGGGAGTTGGGTAATGAATGAAGATTTTTTTAGTTAGAACAACTTGTGGGGTTTTAGGGTAGGAAGAATACAGATGTTAATTATTCAATTTACACTCGTCCTGTAAATGTCATGGTCAATATCAAGATACATAAGATAAAAACAAATTAGTTGAGTATCTTATAATACCGTGTCCATCAGAAAATGTACACTTGTAAGGGTCTCTGATTTAATTCAATAATTTTGACCTTTTTTTAACAAGCATATGAAAACAAACAACTTAAAACGGCTTCATATAAAAAAAATCCAACCAACCTCTGCTATCAGTTCATTGCCCCAAAAACAGGCATAATGGAGTGGAGTATTGCCATGTTCATTTATAGCATTCACATTTGCCTTGTTGTGCAGTAGCTAGAAGAAAGAAATATAGTATAGCCTTACATTCATTTATTAATCAAATTAATTCCCTTGCCCTAACAAAACATTACTGACAATTTAGAGAATAAAATTTATATTACATTTAACTTGAAGTTAGTTGTAATTTTGACACTATCTGGCCAAACCAAATAATACAAATTTAAAATAGGATGGATTTGGAAACTAACTTCAAACTTCTAAAAGGAAACTTGCACTATCAAAAGTCCAACAATAACACATCTTGATAAAGCCTGCACTATATCAGATATATAACTCAAGTACTCAGAAAGAAAATGTGTATTACAAAAGAGCAACAAAACAAATGAAAAGAAAATCAACAGTACCATTAAAACAACTTCCCTATGACCGTGTGCTGCAGCTAGATGAATAGGCGTATCATCTCCCATGTTAGTGGCATTGATTCTAGCCCCACGCTTTATTAGCATATCCACTATGTTGTCTCTCCCTTCTCTGGCAGCCCAGTGGAGGAGGCTGAACCTATGGTCGTCACTAAACAACGGAAAATATCTTACTTAAGGCATCATGTGTTATTGCCATTGGGGCAATATAAAACTACATTAAAATTAACAAGATTTATTCCTGATTGTTTAGTTTTTAGTGTTAAAGCCAGAATTTTGATCAGTTTGAGTATCAATAATAGAGAAATAAACTAAATGTAGTTCTACCAGCTGATAATAAATGACGAAATACATTTTTAAGCTCAAAATTTTTATAAAATATAAAGTAGCCCTAACAGATGAAATTAAATTTTAGATCCTATGGCCAAGTATTTAAAAACTAATAGGCCTAAATAAAATCTTATGGCCTAGGGTATTCATTTGCTAATACTTAATGACCACTATAAATTATTATGGTTGCATAAAGTTGCTAATTTAATATACATATGTACTCATAAAATTAGGCCTACCCTTTGTTTAGATCATTCTCTGTGTTATCCAGCCAGACTCGAACATTAAATGCATTGCCTTCTCTGACTTGAGTAAATATGTCTTCCATTTTACAAAGTCAAATTACTTACTTGCTTTCTTGATCTAAAAGCAAGAAACAAGCCTAAATATTTATATAGGCCTATGGTTTAGGTTTTCAAGCAGCCATTAATTTTAATATTGCATTAGACCAAGGCCCTATCTAAAATTAATAATTTGTGACCCACAATATTCTATGTAAAGGTCTCTTCACTTTGGTGTAATGTGACAGTGCACACACTTTTACACTACACATGAGTGTGTAGTGTGTAAAAACTCAGTAAGTGCAGAGTGTATGAGTTGAGTGTGTGTAGTACAGTTTATAGTTAGGTACACTGTAGTAAGTGTAGTAATCTGTAGTTAGATCTAGTAGTAAAATAAACTAGTAGACTAGTACTAAATCTAGATCTAGTAGATCTGAGTGGTTACAGTTTCATGTGGGTTGTAGATTTAGTTAAATTAATCCTGTAGCTAGTTAGTGGGGAGACCATAATTTAGAATTTAGTGTGTTTTGTCTGACAATAAAAACTGAACATGGTGGAAGAAAAAAAAGGACAGCATTGTTACTGTATTTAAAATGAATGTGCAGAAGATAGATCTAGAATCTACTAAAAATAATTTTAAAAAAAAATAGATATGCCCGAAGATAATCCGGAAATGAGAATGAGGAATCCTCGTTTTTCAGTGAAGTCCAAATAAAATGTACACTCCCAGAAGTAGATTTTACTCATGTAGACCTACCATTTACTAGATTCTAGATCTAGATCTATCTAGTTTAATTTGCTACATAGATTCTAGGTTTTAATAACGAAGCAACAGAGCTAAATTGTTAAAGTATTCTGAAATAATTCAGCGATCGGCAGAGGATAACGTAAGTAATACACGAAATAAAATAAAAATCAACAAAAAATGTACTTTTACTCATCACAACAAATAGGACACATAGGCCAGGTTTTTAAAAGTACTGTTGTCTCCTAAATTGATTGTATAGAGTAACAGAAGTTATTCAGCAAATTATAGATTCTAATGTTTATCGAAGAAGAATGGTCTTTAGCACTCATCAAAATAATATTTTAAACTATTATTATGTATTACTAGGATGATATAATATATTTTACCGCGTCGTTAAAAATAAATGTTTACAAGCTACATCAGGCATAATGTCATCGGTGGTTGCTGGTCCGAATATGGAAATGCTTTTTCCCAGTCGAAATGACATTCACTTTTCAAATTTAAAATAAGAAATAGAATCGTTCAGATAAATCTTTTGAAAAATGATAATTTTTATTAAGTTTTAAATACTTATTTTAAATATAGTTTATTTTAACTTATATCATTACGTAGGCCTACACTCTATGCTTCACAAAGACAGAGAAGAGAAGACACTGTGCTAAAAAATAACATTAAAAAAATAAAATTAATCTTTGTAAAATAGACAGTTAAGACAGGCCCAGACCTTGTCCTACCGTACAATATGAAGGCCCAGGGGTGTCGAAAGGGGGGAGGGGCGGGGGTGCAGACCGCACCGGGTGACACCATTTAAAGGGGTGACTCCAAGGCAAAAATAGTAAAATATATAGAAAAACAGCGATCGTTCCAGTTAAATGAATGATTCGTTAGAGTTAACTGTTCTTTTAATAAGAGCAAAGTTGACAAATCCCGACAACAGTGGGTGAGTGGGAGAGGGGCTACAGACACTATGACGTCAGTAGCGTAGCGAACGGGGGGCGGGGGGGGGGGACATATGTCCCCGGGCGCCGACCTTAAGGGGCGCCAAAATGGGTTGGAAAAATAAATTGAAAGTTTGAAGGGGGGGTGCAAATCGATATCTTGAGGGGGGGGGGTGCAAATCGAAAAGTTTGTCCCCGGGCACCGGGAAGGGTCGCTACGCCTCTGCATGACGTAAACCTGCTAGCGATAGACAAAACAATGCCACACCCAGCCGTATTATAACCTACTATAGATAAGCATCGTTTGTATGATCTATGCACAGTGTAAAGCTATCACGGGGGGGGGGGGGGGGCGAGGGGGAACTAAACGTTGTAAAATGTGCCTGACTTAGCGCGCCACTATGAAAACCTTCATATTCTACCGTGCAGGAAACAAAGCCTAGGCCAAGCACCCTCCTGCACACATGATAAAAGCTTCATCCACATTTAAGATAGTGTAGATCATAACAGACCTCTTACCAAAAATGCAATAATACAAACGTATTTTTAAAGAAAAGCAATTAAAAAGTAGGCTTGCCATCATGCCATAGTGAATAATGATTTCAAACGATGCATATTATAAAGATAGGCCACCATAAAAAAAATATTTATCCGCACCTTCTATTTAGAATGAAATTAACTACATCTTTGTTAGCCACGAGGAAGGCTATATTGTTATTTCAAGAGAATATGATAAAATCATAATTAAACTGCGGAAGACGGATTTTATTTTTTAATCAACTTGGGATAACCGGGTCAGAAAATAAAAAGCTTTATTTACACGAGTGGTTTCCCTTGGTAAGTTCGGCAAGGTGTGAAACGATAAAAATCGTCTAAAGCAAAAAATATTTATAATAATATAATAATCTCTATCTTGTTATGACTATTGGATGACAAAAAGTGTTTTAAAAATAAAATAACATATCATGTAAACATAAGTATTTTTAAAAAGTGATTTTAAATACGGTTACAGTACAGTTTACTCTAAAGTAACTCACACAAGTTTATGTAACCTGCCCTGCTAAAGGTTTCAGACATTTTGCTCATGGAGGGCACTGGTTAGATTTATATATTTTCCAGATAAGCTATATATTTTCTATTTAGATTAGGGGTCGATGGACATCCCCTGGGGGATTAGAGGAGGGGGGGGGGGTAGAGAGATACCTGAGAGAACTTGGTGCTAAGCTGTTAAGTCTCTTACAGTAGATGTAGATCTTGTTTTGATGCAGTTTAGGAGCTACATTTTCTAAAAACAAATTATTTTTAGTCATGTTCTTACTACAGCCTCCCTACTCCAACACTCACACATGCATTCTCCTAAACCCTTGGTTTTTATATGACTTATGTCCAATGTTAATAGTAAAGTTTCTCTTCAAACCTAGCAATCCAATGTTAAGTTCATGTTTCTTGACCTCGGCATATGAAGAGATGGTATAATCAGCATTACGCCTTACCTTCCCTAACGTAAGTCAGGTACCCATCAGAGCTGGGTAGACTCAGGGACGTCCTACTGTTACAAGTCCGAACCGAGATCCGAACTTGAGACCTTCGGGCTAACAGTCAAGCACTCTACTATTCGACCACGCCGTCCCATCAATGTTAATTAAGTTCAGTTCAAAACTTTTCACATTTAGAGGACAACTGTGTATGAAATTCGAACACGTTGTGCACCCAACTTGCCAGATCAAACTTTCAACAATTAAGACAAAAAACAAAAAAATAAAAAAATATGTTAGATGGTTGAACAACAACAGTATCAAAGCAGCTTCAAATGTTATATTTGTTTACCAACATATTGATTTTAATAACATCTTTTTTTTAACCGTATTTCTTTTAAATGTATTGCTTTTCATTCACATGTCTGTAAATCATATCTGTTCAATTGTAGTTTTGTGTTGTGTTACTTCTGTTACTTGTGTTACTTCTGTTATTTCTGTTACTTCTGTTACTTCTGTTACTTGTGTTACTTCGGTTACATGTGCTTGTAAAGCTCCTTTTCAAACCTGGCGGTTTATGTGGCAAGTGAAGTAGAGTTCACCTGTTTCTGTGACCTCGGTATATGAAGGAAGAGTGTGGTCAGTGTTTCTTCCAGGCATCTCTTTTATATAATGTATATAGAAAATATATAATTTAACAGTGTCCGCCCCCCCCCCCCCCACCCCTGAAGAAAGTCTACCCCCCCCCCCGAAAATTTCAAGTGCCCCCCCTCCCCCGGAGAAAAAAGTCTGGATGGTCAGCACTATACCCAGCCGTCTTTACTTTCCCTAATGTTAGTTAGGTACCCATCACAGCTGGGTGGACTCATGGGCATTCTAGACTTGAACCTGGATTCGAACTCGAGACTTAGGGGTTAGTAGTCTAGCTCTCTACCTTAAACTGATCGTATCATTCTAGGAACTAGAAACCCTTTGAAATATTCAGCCTAGCTTTCATTAAGCACGAATTTGGTTAAAGAGTTTTGAATGTTTCTTCCCCCCCCCCCCTCCTCCCCTCCCCGCTACTATATGGGATCTCCCTCAACGGTTTTAACCTTGAACTGTTTGCTTCAAGCGTTGACCATTGTTCCGGTCAGTAGTGCTAGAGTCGAGTTAAACTTGACCATCTCACCTGCACCCTGACCAAACTTAATGACGACATTAACCCTTGCTGCTCCAGAGCTTGCCATCAAACTCTTTCAGCGGAGTAACTCCCCGTGACAAACAACTTGAAGTTACTTCCCTTTGTTCATCACCTCTAACAAATATGCCCCCCCCCTTTCCGCACTACAGCCTTTCTCGTGTCCTGTATTATAATGTTTTCAGGCGATGACCGTCCTATCCCTCCACCCCCCCCCCCCCCTCCTGCTGATGTAACCCAGGTAGTCACAGCAGGAACAGCACTTGACGCATGCGCAGCACTTGAAACAGGAAACAGATGGGGACGCAAGCACGAGACAGAAGTTAAGGAGGTGACGTCACCCCCACTTCTGCGCATGCTTGAGATTTAGCTTGTTTATAGTCAACTAAAGTTGATTGTTAATTCCGACTAAATAAATCATCGAGTCAAGTGTTTGATTTAGCTAAGAGGGCGGTTGCTTCATTTTTAGTAAAGAACTGTTTCATAAAGCACATCAGCACTGCAGAAGTTCCATCTAGTTGTTATACTTTAGTCAGTGGCGTAGCGAAGTCGGGTGTCACCCGGTGCGGCACTTAATGGTGTCACCCCCCCCCCCCCCCCATCCAGAGGCGTAGCGACCCTTCCCGGGGACAAACTTTCGATTTTTCGATTTGCACCCCCCCCCCTCCCCATCAAACTTTCGATTTGCACCCCTCCTCAAGTTTTTCTCTATATATTTTGCTATTTTTTACCTTGGTGTCACCCCCCTAAATGGTGTCACCCGACACGGTCCGCACCCCCCCCCCCCCTTGCTACGCCTCTGACTTTAGTTTACTGCTTCTGAAACAATCTATACATATATATTTAACATTTTATTGCACCAAGGCAAGTTTTTAAAATTACCCTTTCGGTTTGACAGTCAATAGGGAGGTCAAGTAGAGGTTACAAATTTTTGTTACATCGGCATTTGAAAGTATACTGTGATTCGTTTTATGCTTTAACTACCTTGAGTCAGGTACACAGTCTACCTGAGTAAACTCATTGACTTACTAACTTGGGTCAGGTATACAGTCCTGCTGAGTAAACTCAGGGACTTACTAATTCGAGCCAGGTTCACAGTCCTGCTGAGTTAACTCAGGGACTTACTAACTTGAGTTAGGAACGCAGTCTGGCTGAGTGGACTCAGGGACTTACAAACTCGAGCCCGGTACACAGTCTAGCTGAGTAAACTCGGGGACTTACTAACTTGAGTTAGGTACGCAGTCTGGCTGAGTGGACTCAAGGACTTACTAACTCGAGCCCGGTACACAGTCTAGCTGAGTAAACTCAGGGACTTACTAACTTGAGTTAGGTACGCAGTCTGGCTGAGTGGACTCAAGGACTTACTAACTTGAGTTAGGTACACAGTCCTGCTGAGTTAACTCAGGGACTTACTAACTCGAGCTAGGTACACAGTCCTGCTGAGTAAACTCAGGGACTTACTAACTTGAGCTAGGTACACAGTCCTGCTGAGTAAACTCAGGGACTTACTAACTCGAGCCAAGTATACAGTCCTGTTGAGTAAACTCAGGGACTTACTAACTTGAGCCAGGTAGGCTACACAGTTAAGCTGAGTTGACTCAGGGACTTACTAACACGAGCCAG